GTATTTATTTATTTTATTTCATTTTTATATTATTTTATATCTTTAAAAATGTTTGTCAAATATATAAATTATATTTTTAATAAAATTATTATTTGTTTAATGTGTAATAAATAATTTACGTACTTATTATTTATTTGGTTTATTTATTTAAACTCTGGTAAATATTTAATAATTAAAATATTCTATTTATAATCTAAAAACTATTAATTAAAATATCAAGTATCAATTGTTATGAGCTTCAAATAAAATAAATAAGTTTTGTTTATTTTATTTATTTATATCTGAATAAATATAATATTTTATAAAATTATTAGTCTTATTTATAGTTTATAATCTCTTTATTGGATTATTGTACTATTTATAATTTAGAATCTATTTACTCAATCATTAATATATTATAATATAGATTCTATTTACTTATTATTATATTGTGTATAATTTAAAATATATGTATTCAATCATTATATTATTTATAATTTATAATATTATTCATTCAATCATTATATTATTTATAATATAGAATATATTTACTTAATTACTATATTACTTATAGTTTAGAATATATTTATTTAATTTTTATATTATTTATAATTTAGAACCTATTTATTCAATTATTATAAAATCTTTTTTTTTTTCAAAATGACAGAGATATTATAAAAAGAACAAATGTGCAAAAGAACAACCACCAGTTGAATACAAACAGCCAACGGCTGAATAGACTGGGAAGACAAGTCCAAAGGACCGCCTAGAACCGACCCCAACGGGATAATACTACTAAAACTCAAGAACACAACCTACACTCCTAAGAGGAGAATGAGAAAAAGACCCCAACGGGGTAAAGAAAACGCTCCCAAGAGGAGAATGAGAATAAAACGACCCCAACAGGGTAATGATCACTCTCAACTCAGGCAATACAGAGGTCAACGACCCAAACCAAAAACACAAAGACAAACTAATAAAACACAACTAAGAACAAAAAATAAACTAATAAAGACTACGCCCTCCCTCGACAGAACATCCGAATATAACAGAAGACATAGGCCGACTCCAAGAAGAGAACTGGAACTCAGGACCCTCGCCCACCACTGCCTAACGCCTAGCAAAGACAAGGGCCCAAGCCCCAGACCAATCCAAGAAAATCGACCCGCTCCCCAACCGTAAGAAGCCACAATCACCCCCAACCGGCTAACACCACTAACCAAGTCCAACACCATCCCAGAATCGACTAACACCACTAGCCAATTCTGGTAACGGCTGGCCTCCCTCGGGCTCGGGACCGATAAAAAGACAGGAAGGGAAATGAATGACGTCAAAGCTCCTGTACCCCTGCTCTACCTGGAAGAGCGACCCATTCTCCGCCGAGCTCCAAGAACTGAACCCAGCCTATCACCCCCACAACACCAAGAAGCCGACAACCGGAGTTGCAGGAAATTCCAGCCGGAGCAAAAGAAACGGGAAATCAGAGGAAACTCAAGGCCCGACGAGAAGAGTCGACCCAAAACAGAGGTGAACACAGGCGTCTCGAGCCACAACCAACCTCTGGCACTGCACTCCACCCAACTCCACCACGCCGAGACGCCGTCGAACAACACAGATCCACGCGACCTAAGATAACCCAACCGCATCCCTCTGGAAAACGAAGAAAGAAGAAAGCCCATGACCAGACCTTGGTTGAGCGGTGGAGGGCCGTCCTCCGACGACCGTGAATGGCTGAAGAAGAAGGCTCAATCGGCGACGATTTTATGGGCTAGGTTTTGGCGATTTGGAGAAGACGCGGAAGAGAAAAAATGTTCAATTTGAAATTTGAGCTTCCAATTATTATAAAATCTAATTATTATATTATTTATAATTTATAAACATCATTATACTTTAGAATATAATTTATTAAATTATTTTGTTATTTATAATATAGAATTTATTTATTCATTCATTTATTTTTTTAATTTAAAATATACTTGGTGAATCGTTATATTATTTATAATTTAGAATATATATATATATATATATATATATATATATGCTTTATTATTATATTATTTATAATTTTAGAATATGTTTAATTGTTATATTTATTTTCGTTATATGTTATGATATGGGTTCAATCCCCACCTTTAGAAGTTTATTTTTAATTCAACATTTGACAGTAAGTGCATTATTGTAAATTCATTGATAAAGTAAAGGTGTCATTGTCATTCGACGAAAAAGTAACGCTGTCAATAATAAAATAACAGCGTTAATATCAAAGGGAGAGTATGCATGCGGATATTAAATAGAAAGGGGTTTGACGCAATTTTTGAAATACTAAGGAAAAACGCGTAGATTTCATATATTATAGGGGATTTGGTGCAAGGGAAAAAAAATTTAGAGCAACCTGATTTTTGCCCATTGTGTAAAAATACAACCTAATCTTTTTATTTTGATAAATAGCAACCTGAACTAATCACTTTTGTTATAAAACAACCCAACCTGTCGGATTGTCTTAAAATTCACCATAAAATTGCTCTGGCAAGCTATTTTCCAGATTATTAAGGGGCAATTTGGTCATTGTTGATATCTGAGTTAGCCCAGAATGAACCAGAAACTTAACTCCTCAAGACCCGGGCCGCGGACCCGGTCTGACACCGGAGTGCCGAGTCGAACCAAAGAGTAAAAATACTCAGGACCACCATGGAAACATTTCCCCAGACCGGCACCCGGCTGAGTACCTATAGGAGCCGACCTGAGCGGGTGCCGGGCAGAAAATAGGTGCTCAGCTGTCCCGTGAACACATTCGGGGAAAGTGCCGACCTGAAGATCCGGGGTGGCCGACCCAAAAGAAGGGGCGGAACTCAATAAATATTAAAATATTCCCATTAGGAAGGTCATCATCTGATGATGGGACAGGTCATCATAGCTTGGCATCCTACAAACAAGCCTAGTCAAGAAATCCTACCAGCATTAAATGTCCCCCCATGCTGGCATTTAATGTTTGACAAGCAATGGTTGAAAAAACCTCAAATCGCATTAAATAGATGTCAGAGAGGCGCCGAACTGCTCTGCAAGATTACTGTGCGACAAGACCGATGAACAGTAGCTGAATAGTACCACATTTAAGACCACTATAAATAGCAGCTCATTTCATTTATTTTGGGTTGTTGAATCTCAACTAACTCTGCCTTCTCTCTACTTTCTCTCTCTAAAATTGTAAGAAACTCATTGTGATAACTGTAAGTATATCACAAGTGCCGACCTCGTACGAGAGGCCGACCTCGTGATCGCCTAATAAAATCGTAATTAAGCCATATCTTTCCTTTGTTTCCAGTCTTTTACTTTCAACATTCATCATTTTAACCGTTGACCGAAAACGCTCGTCAACAGTCATATCACGTAATTTAAAAGGGCATCCTTGTCAAAAAATTGGTTGAAGAGATTTTCAGGCAGAGAGAGGAAAATGAACTTTGTCAAAACCAATTCTTTGTACAAGCTTCGGGCCGCCGAAAATCTCCTCGCCCCTAATCTTCGATCGCCTCGCAGCATCTCCACTGCACCTCCACCGCTCCTCAACCAGTCGTCCGCTCGAAGCTCGCCATCTCAGCTGCCTTCCCCGTACTTCACCACAGTCCGGCACATTCGCAACTCGCGTGACCTCAACTCAAGGTATTGCTATGGATTTTGTACAATCTTGTGGATTTGTGTCGTACAATGTATTTCTCGAATGGTTTTATTTCATTTATTCTATATATCCGTACATTTTCGTCTTGTTCACTGAAGTAATTGGTGAATTCATTCCCCGACATTTTTGCACCATCCCGGTACTGGAACTCCATCATATACATGTGTATAGTTTCATTAATTTTGTGTTTCTTATCCTGCGTGAGTTTTCTGTCGATCCGTGTTTGTGTTGCTTGGTAATCGAAATCAGTATTTGATATTTATGGCTGGATTGATAATTTTATATCTCATGGTATTTTACAAATATTCTATTGCATTTCAGTTAACATATCATTAGTTCTTATAGCAACATGCTCATAGAAGACAAAATGGAAGAAGAAATCGGGCCTCACATTCATATTTATGTTTTATTCATTTTTATTTTTCATTTAAATTACCAAAACACCCTTAAAATGTCATTTTATTTCATTTTTTCGACAGCAAGTTGGGTTGTTTTTTAACAAAAATGATTATCAAAATAGTGCTGTTTATCAAAAATAAAAAGATTATGTTGCAACCAGGTTGGTCCTTATGGAACCAACCACCAATGAGATAATGTCACATGGAGCTGTCCCACGTAAAAATCATATAGGACAGTCTCATGTGACATTGTCTCATTTGTGGTTAGTTCCATAAGGGAATATGTGGGACAGCCTCATGTGGCACTGTCTTATTGGTGGCTGGTTCGGAACCACCATCTGGTTTCTTACCAAATTGTATAACACAATAGGCAAAGATCAGGTTAGCTCTACATTTTTTCCCTTTGTGCAATAAACCCATACAAACCACAAAATAGTATTGATCCATACGATGGCGGCAAAGGCGGTGCTTGTTCGGCCCAACGTGACCGCGGCGGCTCTGTGCTTGGTGCGCGGCCGTCTCCAGACCACATCCCCTTCATTTTTCCATCGAAGCGCGACGGCGACGCGGGCGAGGCACGATGTTTGGAGTGGTCGGTCGCTGTTTACGGCCAAGTTTCATCTTCCCCGCTCAGTCCACCGGCGGAATTTGAGCGTCCGAGCGACGACGGACTCCGACAACCCCTCTGCCTCCTTCGAATCTCCGCTGATGCAATCAATGGAGCATAAGGTTTCAGTGTGTTTTAATTAAGTTAATTCTTACTAGCCTTCAGTTCTCCGTTAATTTTTATAGGGACTAGGGTTTCTCCTTCGAAAATCAAATAACTGGGGATTTGGTTTGTTCATAAATCGAGTGGTGTAGAGGTATAAATAATTTAACTAGATTGCCTTAAGGTTAGTGTTTTCTTATACAGGGGAGTGATGATATGCATTCTAGTTATAGGTCTCTCTTTGATGGCGTCAACAACACTATTTTCTTCATGTTCCCTTAAATTTTGGATCATTTCAGTTAATTATTCTTCTATATAGCTTGTTTACAAGGTGTTCACATTTGGGTTCAAATGGAGTATAGCACCTCTCTTTTTTGGTAAAAATAAACAAATCAGCTGTATAGAGACAATAATAGAGATAAATGATTCAAATGTTTGATTAAGAGTTTCTGTTATGGTAAAATCTGAGGCCATAATATGCATTAGGTCGAAGATTTTCAAGCATTACTATCATAAATTCATAATATAACGACAGCCGTGAGCCAGGGCCAAATGATGGCTTACATGGTCAATGTGGGAGACCAGCAACATATGGATAACTAAAACATTAAGTTCCTTTTCTTTCATTATCAGATAGTGAAGAAGCTAAAATGGTCATGAGAATTCTCAAGATAAAGTGATTTGTGAGATGGGGTTTGTTTTTCAAACTTCTGTTGCTTTAAACTAATGTGCTGTACAGTATAGTTGGCATAGACGAGGTTGCGGTGAAGACTTTATTTTTGTCCATTTACGTATTCATTAAAACTCGCACACCCTATGTTCTGATCCATATGAAAATTTTAGTTTGGCATGAGGAAATTTCAGTAACATGGAATGGAGATGGAAGCAGTTTTAAACCAGGACCTTATTAAATGTGCCATTAAGCGTCAATGACACAATTCTATATTGGATGAAATTAAAATCGGTATTATAACTCAGTAACTATCTGAAAACCCACTTTTGGATTGTTAGCCTGCTTTGACATGGGACGTTCAAGAATGTACCCTTCTGGGAGAAAGAAAAATCACTCGACCTTTGTAGAAAATTCTGAGTTATCTCTTTAACTTTGTAGAAAATGAATTCTATGATGCAGAAAGTCTCATTATTGATAAAGGTGTATATATTGAGAGTAAAATGCTCTATTAATCATTGTGATCCTTTGCTGTCCGAGCACAAAGGGTGGTTTTGTCTCTTATGCACTTGCAGTCATTTGGTTTTCTTTGTTTTTATTATTCCTTTTTTTTCCTTCTACTCTGACTTGATAACCTAAATCCTTTAAAATCTGTGCCATTAGATCAAGGAACACTTAAATGCAGAGTCAGTTATTGTGAAGGATGCATATGGTGATGGCCGCCATGTTAGGTCAGGCTCCTCATTCCAGTAAATATTAAATTCCAATACAGGAATTCTTTAAGTTGCATTTTATATAGTACTGTTTGTGAAAGCTTTCATCGTCTGACCTTAATCTATGTTTCGGTTTGATTCAATATATATGCAGCATAGAGGTTGTTTCTTCAGCTTTTGAGGGCCAATCTGCTGTGAATCGGCAAAGGATGGTTTACAAGGCAATATGGGAAGAACTTCAGGACAGAGTGCATGCTGTTGACCAGATGACGACACGGACTCCAGCCGAAGTAGGGCAGTGATATATGAGAAAAGTTATCAAGTTTATCCATCAAGACTTCGACCTAATCAGCATTTTCGTTTCGTTCACTTACTTGTCATACAACAATTGTTGCTGCTGGTTGTGAAGGGTCGGAAAGAATATTTTGATTTAAAATTCGTGATAAAATTATTTGCAATGTTTGCTGCCTGCCCAGTGTCTTATTCTCTCATTACTGATAGCCTTTGATGCGCTTGAGCACTAAAGGCTGTATGGCACTGCATTTTTGGTGGAAAGATTGAACCTCTGATGCCCAAAGTCGAGTTGGGAGATGCCTGGCACGCATAGCTCAAATTTTACATGTGCAATAACAAGTACAAACGTGGCGTTTCGAAAGAAAAAACGAACTAGGTCCATAGTACCAGGTGCAACTTTTGTCAAACAATTCACACAAAGAGAATCAACACGACATGGAGATATTTTATCAGGTGCAAAAATATGTACATTGGTTGAACAGACTTCCAATTTTACATAGATGCAAGAATAATGTACAACAATTGAACAGAACTCGAGCTAGTATCATTGCCATTGTGCAGTCTAGTAGTTAACTGTGGCTGAAACTTAGGGTCGTATCATGATCACCCCTATCTAATTTCATCAAAGAGGTGTCTGCAGAGAACATGTCACAAACTAGAGAACAACATCGGCTTCACTTGCACAAACTCAATGTTTCGGATCCTCCACCTCCACCTTGCGTTTGAAGGGGGTGTTAAGTAGATTAACCCATATATACTAAAGGCCCTAAGTTCATATATATCAGCATGTTCATTAGTGAAAGAATCAACTATCCAAAACCAAATGGTCATTTCTTAATTTTGTATATGGAATAAAGGTGTCGATCGCTAATTAATTTTCACATTCAAATATCAAATAATTCAAATTATGAATTTGTCTTATGATATTTTTTACACAATCTATATATATTGAAAGAGATTGATGGAAAAATCATTTGTGTAAAATTAAAAGAAAAAAAAAATAGATCAAACCTTTTAATTTGCCACTTATGGAAAACCATTTCAAAAATAAAAAAATATGTTCGTTGTTCACTTTATCTCTTTTTATTTTTACGATTAATATGTATTAGATTATGTATTATTTTTTTATATTTTACATGTTTCTGTTATTTGCAGATAGGTCCTTTATTTTGTATAATTTTCATTTGTAGCATTAGCATAAATAGGTGTTTTTAGGGTTTGGAGAATCACTTTTTTCACTTTACCCGCTTTCTCTCCTTCTCCCTTCTATCAGAGAAGCTTTCTTCTCTTCAATCTGTATCTTTCACATTCAATCTTTCAATTCAATGAAATGATGTATAGTTTTTAGCCATGTTTTAAATACCGTACCGTACCGACCGGTAATACCGGATACCGGCCATTGGTACGGTACAAATACACTCAAAATACCGGATTTACGGTTATACCGCTTTGTACCGGGACCATACCGTAAAAACCGCAAAATACCGGTCCAAAATACCGGTTAATTAAAAAAAAATTTAAAAAAAAAAATAAAATTTAAATTGGTAGTTAAAATATTTTATTTTTATCTCATTGAAAAGTTGAAATTAATGATTATGGTCATTTATTTTTTTTACTTTAGTGCATTTGGTATTAAATATTTGTATGTATATTTATATTTATTATTATATTTGCTAATCCGGTAATACTACCGATATTACCGGTCCGACCGGTAATACCGCGTACCGGTGGCTAGACCGGTATGACCACCGGTACGGTATTTAAAACACTGGTTTTTAGATTTATTATGGTATCAGTTTCCAGATCTATGCATCAACTATTACTGCACACAGGTCAAAATTTGACCCTCGAGCTTCAAAATGTATTCTACTTGGATATCCACTTGGTTGTAAAGGTTATAGGCTTTACAATCTGGAATCCAAGAACATAATAATATCCAGGAATGTTGTTTTCTATGAACATGTGCTGCCTTACAAACACACTAAATTCCTTTCTGATTCTGTTACCCCTATGTTTCCAGAACCATCTTCCTTTATATTTGATACACCAAATCCTGTTGGTTCTACTGTTACCCCACAGAATCCACCTACTGATCTTACAGTCCCACAACCAGTTGTGCATACTACCACACAACCTATTACTCATTCCTCTAGTTCTCCTACTCAATCATCTACTTTACAAGATCCTACAATCCCAACCACATCTTCAAATACACCACCTCTGAGAAGATCATCCAGACATAGACAACCACCACATTATCTACAGATATACAGCCATTCTTTACCACCTTCTTTAAATTCTACAATGACGGGAAGACAATCCTGGTACACCACATTCAATAAGCAACTTTCTTTCTATTTCCTCTATATCTCATGACTATGCATGTTATACTGCATCTATTTCTCAAATAACTGAACCTCAGACTTATAAACAAGCCAACTTAGATCCCTTATGGCAGAAAGCTATGCAAAATGAAATACATGCTTTAGAAAGTACCAATACTTGGGAACTTGTAGATTTACCCAAACATAATCATTGCATAGGCTGTAAATGGGTCTATAAGGTTAAGTATAAGTCTGATGGTAGCATTGAGAGGTATAAGGCAAGATTAGTTGCCAAAGGGTACACTCAGGAAGAAGGTATTGATTATTTTGATACCTTCTCCCCTATGGCCAAAATCTCAACTGTTAGGCTTCTTATTGCATTAGCATCACTCAAACATTTTCATTTGCATCAACTTGATGTCAATAATGCATTTTTACATGGTAAGTTAGATGAAACTCTTTACATGAAGCCACCCCAGGCTATCTTTCTGCTTCTAACTCCAGAGTTTGCAGGTTAAAGAAAAGTTTGTATGGCCTTAAACAGGCCTCAAGACAATGATTCCATAAATTAACAACTTGTTTGTTGGAATATGGTTTCACTCAATCCTCTGCTGATTCATCCTTATTTGTTAATTCATCCACTAATTATACACTGATATTACTTGTTTATGTGGATGACATAATGCTGACTAGTGATAATTTGACTGTCATTCTTGCTATCAAAAAGCATCTTGACTGTTGTTTTACTATTAAGGATCTGGGTGTTTTAAAATATATTTTGGGCATTGAGGTGGCACACTCTGGAAAGGGAATTCAATTATGTCAAAGAAAATATGTTCTATATATTCTTACTGACACTGGATTTCTTGCTTGTAAACCTGCTTCCACACCCATGGATCCCAATGTGAAACTTTCCTGCAATGATAATTCTGTTGCCATTGATAGTACCTCCTATAGGAGATTAATTGGCAGATTGCTCTATGTTACAATTACAAGACCTGACATTTCTCATTCAGTTCAAATGTTAAGTCAATTTGTTGCAAAACCAAATCAAACCCATATGGATGCTGCTCACAGACTTCTCAGGTATTTAAAAGCAACAGTTGGCCAAGGTATATTCTATCCCAGATCCTCTGAACTCTTTCTCAATGGTTACAGTGATAGTGACTGGGCAGGTTGTTTAGATACTAGAAAGAGTGTTAATGGTTATGCTTTTTTCTTGGGAAAATCTCTTATTTCATGGAAATCAAAGAAGCAATCTACTGTTAGTAGATCTTCTATTGAAGCAGAATTTAGAGCCTTGGCCTCCACTACTTGTGAAGCTCAATGGCTCTTATATCTGCTCAAAGATTTACATGTCACTCACTCTTCTCCTATTCTTATATTTTCAGATAGCAAATCAGCCATAGCATTAGCTAAAAATCCTGTGCATCATGAGAGAACAAAGCATATAGAGATAGACTGCCATCTTGTTAGAGAGAAGTTGTCAATAGGCATCATCCAACTTCAACATGTACCCTCTGAGCTGCAAGTTGCTGATGTGCTGACCAAGGCTTTTCACCTCAGCCTTTCAGGAACTGCATTTCCGAGATGAACATTCTTAACATTCATGTTAACAATGTTCATCTTGCGGGGGGATATTAGATTATGTATTACTTTTTTATATTTTACATGTTTTTATTATTTGCAGATAGGTCCCTTATTTTGTATAATTTCCATTTGAAGCATTTGTATAAATAGGTGTTTTTAGGGTTTGGAGAATCACTTTTCACTTTACCCGTTTTCTCTCCTTCTCTCTTCTATCAGAGAAGCTTTCTTCTCTTCAGTCTGTATCTTTCACATTCAATTTTTCAATTCAATGAAATGATGTATAGTTTTTAGATTTATTAATATGGAATCAACAACATTCCATATTTTATGCAGGCGAAAATATGTTCAACTTCGGGTGTGATTTATCATATATCAGTTTTAATAAACGTGTTGTAAAGTATCAGTGATCCAAAATTACATCATAAGAATAAATATGCAAAACAAATTAGATTTTTCATTTTTTTTATTAATATTATGCCAATCTTGAATTTTAAAATTTGTGATATTAAAAACCTGTGGCTACAAAAAATATTATTTTATTGATGTAAATTATATATGCCCTTTTTTGATTGATTTTAAACCAATATTAAGTGATGTGTGAATCAATGTCCGTGATACAAAATCTTTCGATCAAAATTCATTTTTAGAAATCTAAAGCCATGAGGTATCAATAAATAAATCATGAAGATAAATTGTTTTCAAATCTATCCAGTTTTCTATTTAGAATTCTTTAGTATGTATCCATATAAATTTAAACATTTTAACCATACCATTAATGGATATTAAAATTTTTGAACCAAACATTTGACGTAAAAAAATTAGGCAAAATTGCATTTTTGGTCTTGCAGCTTTGGGCGCGTGGCAATTTTAGTCCTCTGATCTGGCCCTTGCGCAATTTAGTCCGTAATTTACAAAGTCAACGCAATTTTGGTCCTTCCGGCACCCAAAAGTCAAAATTGTCGCTGGATTGCTCACGTGTTCGGCGCGGGATGAATTTCTGTCCGTTTACTGCTGATTTGGCGTCCCACTTTGTGGACGTGGCAATTTTCCTGTTTTAAAATATTTCAAAAAAAAAAAATTAAAATCCACGTCAT